GGGACTGCACTAAAAGAAAAACTGGATGGAGGCAGGACAGAAACAAAATCTCCTTTTGCAGGAAGTCCTCAATTTACCGCCAGTTTCTTTCTTTTTTTTAACAAACTGTATTAATTTTACAATTAAAATAAACAAACAACACATACACAAATGTAGAAAAGAAGAAAAGAAACAGAGTAGAGAAGTAAAAGAGAGAAGAGAGAAAAAGAAGAAAAAGAAAAAGAAAAATCAAAAAGTGATTAAAAACTATTTCATCCTTGACAGTTTTTGTGGGTCAGTATTTCTATCCTTATTTTATGCCATATTTACAAGTAATCTTTAATGCGAATATATAATTACCACTACAATTATAGCTTATCCTCTTTTACAATGTTATGTAGTCCATCTTTGATCTAACCGTTCATACCAGCAGTTCCAGCTCTCATAGTACATTGATGTTTCTTTGTCTTTTAATGCTAGGGTTAATTTATCCTTTTTTGCACAACTTGATATTTTTTGAATAATCATTTCCTCTGATGGAGTATGAGGTTGTTTCCAACATTGTGCAAAAGCCAATCTAGCTGCCATCAATGTATGTAATATTGTATACTTCACTTTTTTTGGAAATTGTTTATTAAAGATCCCTAATAGGAAGAACTCTGGTTTGAATTCAGTCTGTTCTGTCGTCATTTCCTCCAGCCATGTTTTAATTCTCTGCCAATATCTTTGTGCTTCTTTGTGCTTACAGCCAGTTTCTTAGCGACTGTTTGAAGTTAAGACTCACCTGAAAAAGGAAGCTTACAACCAAATTCGAAGTTCTGATGGCCGAGCTCTCTCTCCATGTTCATATGACTAAACTTTGGGCAATTGGGAACATAGCTGGATTTTCAGCCATTTGTAGTATCCCATGTTAAGTGACTGCATTTTTACCATGGTTTTGAAGAAAACTGACCAGTTTTCAGCAAAACTGCGCCCATAGAGTTCCACTAGTGAAGGACAGACTCTGCAGGTAGTCCTTAATTTACATCAGCTCATTTAATGACTGTTCGATGTTACAACAAACACTGAGAAAAATGACTTATGACCATTGATCACATTTATGAGCCTTGCAGGATCTCTACGGTCACATGATCAAAATTAAGATGCTTGGCAACTGACTCATATTTATGACGGTTGTAGTGCCTGGGATATTGCGATCCCTTTGCGTGAGCTTCTGACAAGCAAAGTCATGGGAAAGCCAGATTCACTTAACACCCAAGTTGCTAACTTGACAACTGCAGGGATTCATTTAACAATTGTGGCAAGAAAGGTTGCGAAATGGGGCAAAACTCACTTAACAACTGTCTCACTTAGCAACAAAAATGTTGGGCTCAACTGTGTTCTTAAGTTGAGGGCTACCCGTATTGTAGCTGTATGCTGAGGACTAGCTGTATTTAATTTAGGTACAAATTTAAATAATCTTACATGTAAAATTATCCCCAATGAATGCTACATTTAATCCCAGCTATGCAATTTACACCAGGGAGGCAATATAGTTTTCTTTATCAAGTCACATTGTGTTACTTTTAGGCCTTATTTGGCTGTTGCAACAACTGAAACCTTTCCAAGTTACTAAAAACCCCAGACTGTGTATTTTAGAGCAAAGCACTGCAGCTCCTTCGCTTCACTTTTAGGATATGGGGGCACACTTTGTGAAGAGGGTTGGAAGGCATATTTTACACATTTTTTACTGGTTTGCAAAGCCTTAGCATTTCCCCCTCTGAGTCATGCCTGTGTTATCCACTAGGCACAACATATGCAGGGCCTAGGGCTTATGAAACTTTGGGGACCCATATTTAAAAAAACCCCTGAAAATATGGAAGGGAATAGTAAAATCAGAGAATTCTATATCCCCAAATTAAATGCATTTAAGACATTATTGCTACTTTATTATGTGTATACTTCAATTTATTCCTTGCATTGTATTGGAGAATGTAAGGCCGGGGAATATTTTTATAGTCCTATGTTTTGTAGGCTCTTGCTACTCCTACAAAGATAAATGTGCCATGGGACTGTCACTGCCAGGTTCTTAATTTGGCCCACTCCTGTTACATTACAACCTGTTAACAACTCTGGAAATTTATTCTCAAGGCTGTTGGCTACAGGTTGCACAGTTCTGTGACACAAAATAGAAAATGTGTTGTGCCCTGGAGTATGAGAAAAGCTCTTAATATTGTTGTGCTATTGCTAAACTTGTCTTCTGGGAAAGAACCGTTCATACTCCTGAAACTGCATGGTCTGTATCAAACATCATTAACCAATAAAAAGCGAGGAGGAAGAATTTCCCATTCTCATACATCATGTTTTTCACGTTGGCCTTATGACCATGAAGGAACATTAGATATGGGATGAATCACAATCAAACTCCATCAACATATACTTCTTGGGGAAGGGAGTATGGTCATTCATTTTTAATAACACAGTATTGCTTAGAATGGCGTTGACTTCCATTAGGATGTAACAAAACATTGTCTGCCCCCAGCATAAAAATGCAGGCATATGAAAAGAAGCCAGTACAGGTAGTCCTCAACATATGACCACAGTTGAGCCCAAAATTTATGATGTTGCTAACTGAAACATTTGTTAAGCGAATTTTGCCCCAATTTTACAAATTTCTTGCCACAGGTAAGTGAATCAGTGCAGTAGTTAGTAACATGGTTGTTAAAGTGAATCTGGCTTCTTCACTGATTTTTGCTTATCTGAAGGTCACAAAAAGTGCTCACATGACACTACAACTGTCATAAATACGAACCAGTTGCTAAGCATCCAAATCTTGATCACATGACCCTGGGGATGCTGCAACAGTGCTAAGTGTGAAAAATGACCATAAGTCCCTTTTTTCATACCGTTATAATTTCAAACAGTCACCAAATGAACTGTTGCAAGTCAAGGACTACATGAAGAAGTGAACATTTGTGGCTCAGGATTGAACTGTGGGGTCCTTGGTGCTCTCTGAGCTTAGTGGTTTTCTTGCAGACATTTCATTACCCAACTAGGTAACATTATCAACACACAGTGAAGATGTTCATACTTAGATGCCAGCTCTGGTGGCCTAGAGGTGGAGCACTCCCCCCTCACAATCAGGAGGCTGTGAGTTCGATCCTAGGTAGAGGCTAATATTTGGAATAGGCTCTCCTGCTCCAGCAGGGAGTTGGACTAGATTACCTCCAAGATCCCTTCCAACTCTTGTTATTCTATGATCTATGGCAGCCGTCACCAACCGGTGGGCTGCGGCCCACTGGTGGGCCGTGAGAAAATTTTGGTGGGCCGCAGAGAAATCTCACCCCCCGAGCAGCCCCACAAAGCAAAAAATCCAGGCTGTGCAGAAACACAAGCCCACATGGCCCATGGGAACCCCCGCCCACTGACTCCTTATCCAGTAAACTTTCCTGCTAAATTGCTATTTTTCCATTTTCCAACCATCATCTGTTCTGCTGTGCCGGGAGATTTAGATTAGCTAGGAAGCAGGAAATGGTTGGATTTTCTTGATTTCTAGCTAGTCTTTAGATCTTCAGCTCAGCACAGCCAAACCTCCCTTAGGACTGAAGGTTTGCTTGCAAGCAATTTCAGTGCAGACTCAAGGCAAGCAAATTTGAGACTGAGCTAGCCAATGGCAGATAGATAGATCACTGAATGATTCTGTGAGCAACTCAATCTGCCTGCTTTGCCTGATTTGGGGTAAAAGTTGCTCTTTTATAATAAAAAAAAAATCAATATTTACACGCATGGTGTGTTGTGAGTTAATTTGATGAGTTTGCTTGCAAGCAAATTTTATGTGACAGACTGAGCTAGCCAATGGCAGATAGATCTCTGAATGAATCTGTGATTCTGTGAGCAACTCAATCTGCCTGCTTTGCCTGATTTTAGGTAAAAGTTGCTTTTTTATTAAAAAATTAATATTTATATAAATATTTATATTTACATACAAGCCATGCCCAGCCAGTCACATGACCACTAAACCACACCCACCAATTAGGCCGCGCCCACAGGACCGGTTAGTGGTCCCTGGGAATCTAAAATTATGAGTTTGGTGGTCCGTGAGGTCCAAAAGGTTGGCGACCCCGATCAATGAGATGGCTAACAAAACGAAAACCAAGCTCAGAGAGCATCAAACACGCCAAGTTAGAAAAAAAAGTGAGCGTGGGTCCAAGTTCGGTAGGGGAAGGGCATGAGGAGCCTTCTTCCTACGACGGGATTCATCCGGGACTCGTTTGACCAACATTGGCTGTGATTAAGGAGTGCCACCAGGGTTTCTCTCTCCCGTAGGCGAATTCTTCAGGCGGTTGGAAAACATTGGATGGCAAGCGTCGGTGCCTCACTTTTTCCACCCTACTACATTCTTTGCATGCACACAGCCCAACTTCCGCGAAAGCTCAGGTTGCCCTGTTGCTTTGGCAAACTCACTCTCCGGAAGGCGATGCAGTGCGGAGCGGTGGGTTTTTGCCATTCACACCTTTCCTTCGCCTGACATTGGTTAAAGGACGGGGGGCGGGGGGGGGAGGAGAGTAATTTTACCTGCCGTCTTTTAGTGAACTCAAAGATAGGAGGGAGGGCTTCCCATGGAAAAGTAAAGCCGGGGAAAGAGGGGAGGCGCTCCTAATGGGCGAAACGACGGAAGGGATTCTCGCCTTGGGTTGGGATCGAACTTCCAGAATTGCCGGCCCTTCGGCTTGGCTTGGCTGAATGATTTCGGCCAGACTTGGAAAAGGCAATTCCCGAAGCCTGAACTTGCGGGTTCTGCTGAGGCGAGAATTACGAGAGGAGCCGCCGGCGCGGCTTTGCGAATCGGGGGTGGGTGGGATAAGCGCTGCGCTTCTAATTCGCGAACGAGAGGAGCGAGGCTCCAGCGGCTGCGAGGCTCCGGTTGCGCTTGATTATTATTATATTTTTTGTTTTGTTTTCATTAGGGGGTGACTCGCTTTGTTCTCTTTCTCCTCCCCGGCTCTGCCTTCCCTCTTTCCCTCCCCCGCTCCCCCCTTCAGGCTCCCACGGCGGCGGCAGACTCGGCGCTTCCCCAGGAGGACCTTCCGCAGGGCGCCATGGAAGTCTACCGGAACCCCACCGAGGTGCAGATGACTCAGATGGTGCAGCCGTGCCACACCAACCACCGCGGGGAGCTCAGCACCGGGCAGCTGCTGAAGTGGATCGACACGGCCGCCTGCCTTTCGGGTAAGCCGCGCTTGCTCTCTCTCTCTCCCGCCTTCTGACAGACGGAGGGGCGGGAACGCGGGTTTTTGTGGTTTTTTTTGGCAACCCGCCCTGGGCTGGATCAACCGGGCGAGGCTGCGGGTGGGCCGAGCGCGGCCGCGCGTCGCTCTTAAGGTGGACCGGAGGAATTGGGGAAGAGCCGCTTCGAAGTGGGGAGTCGTCGCCGCCGTCGTTCAGGTCTGCGGGAGATTCGCGCCCGGGCGCAGTCGCCCGGCAGGAGTGGCAGGGTAGTTTCCAGGCGGAGTCTAAGACAATTCACCACAGCCAGCTCGCAATGACAAACCTGCCTCAGCCAACTCGCCACGTCCAACCCACTGCAGGACAAAAGTTACACCAGGGGTTCCCAAACTTTAAGACTTGTGGACTTCAACTCCCAGAATTCTTGAGTTACACTAATATAGAAGATGTGGTGGAATAGAATCATTAAAGAAAGGATGCAAGAGGAGGGACGGAATGAAACGTGAATGGCAAACATTAATTTTTATTTATTTTAAATAATTAAATAAAATTGTTAAATTGCCCTGCAATGAGTTGTCTTGGCTGTGGCAAGTTGTTCCATTCCCTTCCAGGCCTGCTTTGCAATGGATAGCTGGTGGTGGATGGTTGGCTAAATGCAGATTTCAAAAATCGTTAAGTCAGGCATTTGGAAGAGTTCAAGTTTGTCTAGTCTAAGGAAGAGAAGGACAAGGGGTGATATGGTAGCAGTCTTCCAATACCCAGGTAGTCCTTGACTTACAATCACTATTGAGCCCGGAATTTATGTTACTAAATGAGACATCTGTTAAGTTAATTTTGCCCCGTTTTATGACCTCTCTTCCCACACTTGTTAAGTTTTTAAGTTAGTAACAAGGTTGTTACTGGCTTCCCCGTTGATTTTGCTTGTCAGAAGTTCACAAACAATGACTACATGACCCCGGGACACTGCAACTGTCATAAATATGAGTCAGTTGCCAAGCCTCTGAGTTTTAATCATGTGGCCATGGGGATGCTGCAATGGTTGTAAGCATGAAAAATGGTTATAAATCACTTTTTTTCAGCGCCATTGTAACTTTGAACAGCCACTAAACACACTGTTGTGAGGATTACCTGTATTTGAGGGGCAGTCACAAAGAAGAGGAGATCAACCTATTCTCCAAAGCATCTGTCCAGATGGCAACTTATCAAAAGAGAGATCCAACCTAAGAACTAAGAAGGTATTTCTTGACAGTGAGGACAATTAATCAGTGGAACGATTTGCTCCTAAAAGTTCTAGGTGCTCCATTGTTGGAGGCTTTTAAGAAGAGATTGGACAACCATTTGCCTGAAATGATATAGGGTCTCCTGCTTGAGTTGGACTAGAAGACCTCCAAGGTCCCTCTCAACTCTGTTATTCTGTATTCTGAAAGCAAAATTAGGGTTTAGCCATTCAAAGGTCTAGTTAGACCATGTGCCGTAGTCAATGAATGTAGGAACTATGACAGGATATGGGAGGAGTGGGTAGCGAAGATGGCCCACCTCCCTCTGCTCTCCATCCTCCCATTACTTTGCTTGCTGACCATCACCAAGGTTAGAAGCAGAAAACAGCCAGTGGGTGGTGAAATAGGAACCCAGTTTCCTCCAAATATTATTGGAATATTATGTATAATCCTTGGATTTTGGTATTACTGGATGAGTCTGAAAGGACTTGTGCTGTCCAGCCAGTTATACAGTAGTTAATAGGGAATTGGAATAGTTAGTTAGGAATTGGGAGCTGTCCCCTTAAGGGAATGCATCATGGTAAATGTAGTTAAGGTATCCTGGGAAATGTTGTCCATGTCATGTGGCCACATCTGTAATCCTGATTGGTCACTGAATTGACCCTTGGTGGGAGGTTCCTTCACTCTTGCCTGAACCCAGCATCATGCTGGCATCCTTGCTCCTTCAATATGGGATGAGAGAATACCATCCTTTATGCAAAGAGTTGGACATTGAGATGAATCTCGACGTAACTGTGAGTTATATTGAGGATACCTGATGAACCAATAAAAAGACTTTGTATGGATGCTTTGTGGAATTAACTGTCTGCTTTATAATCAACTAGTGGTTGTAAGGTCCAGAACAGGAGTTGTGGTCCAAAATACTTGGGAGGAGGATTTATTCTATCAATTTTATATAGCCACCCATTTTGCCACCTTAACTCTGGATGGGAAACCGAAGTAAAAACCAACAAAACAAAAACAATGACTAACAACTTAAACAATAATAACACAGTGACGCTTCCAAGCAATCAGCTCAGCCACCTCATGCTGAAGAAAACTTCAATGATAGACTTACTCAACCTACAGGCTCCATATCTAGTCTTCAAGAACTTATGAAATGGTAGCAGAACTGGGATTAAACAAATCTCAGGGTGCGTGTTGTTTAAAAAAAGGGTGGACGCTTCAACAGAGAAGGACCACTTCCTGGGTCCTGCCAAGTGACACTTCTTAATAGGCAGGAATCAGAGTATGCTACCCTGCCAGATCTAGCACAGAAACAACTGAAGAAAAGTGGCCACCGATTGTAACATGCAAGGATTTGCTTTTGCAGACCTTTTGCCTCTGTCCTAACCAGAAATTACAGAAAGCTATAATTGGATAAACCCTTGATAATTAACAGAACAAAGGACCTTAACTCTTACAGACTCTTATAGCTTTATAAAATTTTCCTGCTTCTTCATTTGTAAGGCAATTAATTCAAAGAGACTGACAACATTGAATTTAAGTCTGCTAGTCCAGCTCAATTTTATAAATAATCCTATGGTTGTGAATGCTTGAATATTATCATGCCACAACTTAAGCTGCATAGAAAGGTTGTCTTAACCATAAGATCCCTTTCAGATTAATATGTAAGAAAATAATAGGATCTACCCTTTTTTTTTTTTTTTTACAATAGATTGGAGGCATCCTTGCAGCTAGGATATGAAGGCTACAACACCTAGCTTTCCTGGTATCTAGGTTTCAAAGGCAAACTGTTTTTGACTAGAGAGGTTTCCTTTAGCTGTGCTCTTTCTTGAAGCTGTTCATTACTTTTTTAAAAAGTGCCTTAAACTAGCGGTCACCACCAGACACGATGGCAGAGACTTCCATAAATTAATTAGATATTAGTATATTTCTTTGCCTGAATTTATTGCCGTATGATTTCCTGAATAGCAATAGCACTTAGACTTTAATAAAAATGCATTCATTTTATCTATATCATCATTATAAATACCTCTGTCATTTTACTCTTTTAATCATCTTTGGTGCTCAACAAAAAAAATGTACTGACACTTTAGTGGGACGTAGTTAATGAAAAGTATTAAGATATATCCAGTCTGAATGTCAAATATATTCTTCATATAACATACAGGTAGTCCTCAACTTATAACAGTTCACCTATGACCGTTCGAAGTTACAACGGCACTGGAAAAAGTGAATTATGACCATTTTTCAGAGTTATGATTGTTGCAGCATTCGCAGGGTCATGTGGTTTACATTTGGATGCTTGATAACTGACTCATATTTATGACGGTTGCAGTGTCCTGGGGTCAAGTATTCACTTTTGCAACCTCCTGAGAAGCAAAGTCAATGGGGAAACCAACTGGGTTAGTAATTTAACAACGGCAGTGATTCACTTAAGTTGAGGACTACCTGTATTGTTTATCTAGTTGTTTCCCTCAACATCAGCCCTGCTTAGATTTGCTGAGAGGAGAAAGAATGGCTACTTAAATGTCACCTGAGTGTTCAATCTTCATTTTATTTCTTTTGCTAAGTGTTCATTCAGTGAGTGACCATGACAAGATCTCTGTTTTGTTTGATTATTATATCACTCTTCAAGATACAATGTCACACTTATATGTAGGAAATCATAATTGCCATTATTTTGCCTGTTCAAGCAACTTAGACAGCCCCTTTTGAAATAATTTACATTAATTTAGCTGTCTCTCTTCTGAGTGAGATGAATAAAACTGGTTGCAAAGGTTTTTCAGTTAAAAAAGCCTGCAAATACTTCATTTCTCATAATTTTCATGCTAGGCAATTTGACATCAGTTTTACAAATTTCCTGGGCAGGAAGCCATACTAATTTGTTCCTCAGCAAGGGCTTTTTGTTTATATATTTAAAAATGCTAACATTATTTTAGAAAAACACTTTCTATTAGTGTCTGAGGTAGAAGTTAAGAATAACTAATTTCCTCATTGCTGTCTGGTTTTGAAAACTTGAAAAGAGACTAAAAAGGAAAATAAATAGAATATTGATAGTTAATAAGTTTTACACAGTCTTTAAAGGAATTATTGAATGAACCTATAATAGTATATCTACCTGAATTTTTGATATGATTAATCAGATGTTTTATCCAAAACAATAGTTCAGATATAGTTTCTAGTAAAATTCACAATACAATAAAATATTATATTTTATTGTTTCAGGATCAATGTCATTACAGGGACAAAATATCTTAAGAAATTGGATTTTTTTTAAAGTCTACCATACAGTATTTGATGGCAACACATTTAATCTGACTTTTGAAAGGCTACTGTGTATTTATTAAAATATAAACTGTTCAAATATTTAGGGAGTTGAAAAACTGGCTGGGTGACTTTGGGCCTAGGCATTCTCTTTCAGCCCAACCTACCTCACAAGGCTGTTGTAGGAGAAATAGGAGAAGGAAGGTATATTGGAAATACTCAACACCTTGAGTTATTTATAAAAATAATAACTGTGGGAGAAAAAAATGAAATAAAAATAAATAACAAAATCATCTTATGTTTTATTACAGCATATTAGTGTCGTCAATGGCCCCAATAAAACTGTTGAGCCCGGTCTTTTAAGCTCTCCTCTTTTTCAGTTACAGTTATTAGCAGTCTTATATAATATAGTAGAAGAAAGTTGTATAGGATAATGATCTAGAGAAACCCCTGGGAAGAAAGCATTTGAAAGCTTTGGACTCTTGAGTTTCTTTCATATTACTATTTAATCATGTTGATTTTGGGACTCTTTCTAAGCAGTGATTAAACACACACATATAGTGTACATAACTGAGACAGTAAGCCTCCAAGCTTCCTGATAAAATGTTCTCTGCTTTCAATTTCATCTAAAGAAACATTTTTATAGTTGTTGAAATTAATTATTTCCCTTTCAAATTAAATCTGGTCAGAATAGATTTTTTGTAACATTTTCCCATTAATTGCAGTTTTCCATAATCCGAATATTTTTGCGAATGTTCATCTGTAATCAGAGCCTGGGCACGCCTCCTGTCTCTAAAGGGTTAGGATTGATTAATCCAGCTGATACGATTAGCTGGTGAGGGACTATAACCAAAGATACAAATCTCAGCCATTTGCTCGCGATTAAAATCTTTAACAACAAGAATTCTGAAACTGGCAACTGGCATTTGGATTACAGCAGAGAATAAAAGCATGCTTGCGCCTTGCACCTGGCTCTTGAATCTTGTCAGGTGAATAATGTCAGAAAGAGGTAGTGAGACTAGACTCCTACTGTTCTGCCATACTTAACAATCTTCTGAAGAGCAAAAAATATGCTGTATATGTGGAAGCTCCTCTTTACTCCCACCAAGTAAACTAAGCATTGTTAATTCAAATTGTCCCTTACATTTTCCTCAGTTAAACCTTCACATGGCAGTTAAAATAGTTACGGCTTTTGACTGTTCTCACATTCAATGTGATCTAACACATCTGTTGATGGAGGCTGTTCTTGTGTAGTTTCTTGTACAATTCTTAAACAACTGCCTGTGAAATGAAATTGGGGCTTGCAAGTTAGAACTGCCCATAAAACTGTAGAAATAATTCCTGTATTAGAAGAGGTGGATAACCTTTTAGTAAAGGGAGTGTTGGAAAACTAGCAATGCATCTTCTTCTCGAAGAGAGCTGAACCCTCTTTTCAGATTCAATGGCCTTTCATCAATAAGCTTTCTGGGCAACAGAGTATTCACGTGCCTGGAATTTTCCCAGTCCTGTAAATCCTCTTTTCTGGAGAAGCCTCGTGAATTGGATCCCATAATTCATGCACAGTAGAATGTGTACCATGGGGCACAGATTGTGCTCTAGCAGCTAGAATTTCTTGTTTCCATTCTAAACCTAATTGCAATGAAGAAGCCGGGGGGGTGGGGAGCTCTCTTTGGTGCAATGATGTACATAACTAATGTGGTTTGTTTGACTTTTCAGCTGAGAGGCATGCAGGCCGCCCTTGCGTCACAGCGTCAGTGGATGATATCTATTTTGAGCACACAATTAGGTAACTGCCTCACTTCCTTGCCTTTTGCTGTTCAACTGGCTTTTAAATGGATGTTTCCCTGGTGCTTTCAGCAAATGAAGAAGTAGACGAAATCTGTATCACATTAATTAGCTTTTTTATAGCCTGAATAACTTTTGCCAATTCTCAGTCATGGAGCCAATGAACAATATTAAGGGGGAAAATGTGCATGCGACCTATTAGTTAAGCAGGAGGGTGGGACAGTATTTCAACTGTGGTGGCATTTTACATGCTTAACTGAGAATACTGTGCAAATAATGATAGTCTTTGGCTTTTCTTAATATTGAAAGCATTTGTATAGGCTTCTCCCAAGAACAGGAGAACCACAGGGTTGTTTCAACTGCAGGGGTCCATTTTGGAATAGTTTCAAGTTATTTCTCCAGAAAAATGCTTTCAGCCATTGAAAACATGCTGCCTTTGCTGTTGTGCACCAGACATTTAGAAAAGGATGATTTTGGAACGTAGGATACAACTTTGGTATTTTGCTCATTAAGAAGGAGCCAACATCCAAATATGGGATTCCAGCGTGTTTTGATGATAGTGAGAGTAATTATGCATTTTAACAAGAGTCGTTTTCCCTTCAATTAAGCAATTGTATTTATTCCAGCCTAAAGCAGGCATATTTGTTCTTGGGTCAGACTGTTTACTTATCTAGCATGGAATTATTTACTCATGTTATTGGAAAACCCAGGGCTTGTATCAACAATGTCCTGAAAACGGTCATAAGTCTCATTTTTTTCGTGAATAGATAAATGGTTGAACATAAGCAAAATTGAAATGGGCATTCCTACCATTTTGTCTGCTATTTTTAATATCTTCCTCATCTTTTTTCTCTACAGAAATAATTTAATACAACTTTAAGAGCAGCCTGGCATAATACTCTTGTAGGAGTGAGTTATTTCTTTTAATTGATACATTCTTTTCCTTTTATTTGTTATCCTATGCCACAGCTCTCTGGAGTAACATCCAAAAATAGATAGCCATAAGGCATAATGCACACGAATCCCTGTTTTCATAGCGGAAAATAAACATTAAAAGCATAAAATACTTGAAAATATTTTTGAACAGGGTAAATTGGGGGGGAAAACTATTCCAAATTTAAAATATGAAGTTCCCATCAATAAATTCTTATTGACTCATGACCTGACATTAAAATGAAACAAGTTAAGGCATCTGAAGAAAGAAAAACACCAATAAAGTAATTGTTGGGCAGAACTTTAAAGGAAGAGACACTGGACAATGGATGATAGGGTGTCATTCGGTACATTTATCTGACAATAATGTTCTCAGAACTACGGATGGAATTCTGTTATTCCTTGATGAAATATTACATCCCTTGGATCCTACTAAAACTGTTTTATGGAGCAGGGGTCTCCAACCTTGGCAACTTTAAGACTTGTGGACTTCAACTCTCAGAGTTCCTCAGCCAGTTTTGACTTGAAGTCCACAAGTCTTAAAGTTGCCAAGGTTGGAGACCCCTGTTACGGAGAGTATCTTTTTATTGTGATATGTGACTTCTTTTCCACACTTCCATTTTTTTCTTCTCCTCCCACTTTTATGTCAGACAGGTGCTTATAAATTATCCTTGGTACTCATGTGGAAAGAATGAAGTCTGGTATGAAACTTTGCAGTACACATTTGTACAGTAGAATAGACTACTGGTCTCCTAACCCACTGCTGCCCTGGCATAGCTAAATGTCCCTACTCGTTTTCTGCACCTTCTCGATGTTCCTTCAGTCTAGACTTCAAAAGAAACTGACTATTTGGGGGCACAGAGGTGACTGTGAAACTGTCACTATCATGGTCTCTCAGTGACCATTTGAGTTTAGAATGGACCTCCAGGTGGTACTTATGATCCAATTCCATTGTCCAGGGACCTCTGGACCTGTGGCCACATGTTGGGCTCTCAGAACTAGCCCACATTAATGGCTGTTTGCAGCATCTTTACATTTATGTAACCATATTTTTTGATGTTTTTTTCCGAAAACCAACGTTTATTTCAGTTTTTGGCAAAACAGCTCATAACAAACCGCCACAAAAAAGTTCATAAAATTGGGTTAATTCATCTATTATTTCAGCTCTTAGAAATCACACAATTGCCAAATGAGGAGTTCATTTTATATATGTGTTTGACTTCCTTCTTGATGCTCTAAAATGGAAGTGGTTTCCTTTTTCTAGGGTACAACTAAACATCAAAAAGATGACTCAGTTGGCCCACAATGGTTGTTCATTTTTATTCTCTAAACTCTAGAGAAGAATCAAGCTTCTTTGAGATGTTTTTTAATGATCAAATCATCCAAAGTACATTGCTCAGCTGAAGTACAATTATGGAGTATTACATTTTCTACCTGTTTGTCATATCAGTGCATTTCCCAATGTCAGTTGATAGAAATGTAACTCAGTTATTATGTCCTACAGCTTAGGCTTCTATAAAGAATCTAGAAATAGTTTCTCTTAACTCTGAATTTGATGTAATTTTATAGCAATATTTAAAAATGTGTGCATGTATCGTAATTTTTCTGAGAAATAGGAAGGAGAACAGAAGGAAAGATAATGGCTGATTTTGTGTGTGCATTTTCCTGGGAATAAGTTCTGCTTAAGTGAACTATAACTACACTAACATCCCACGCTAACCATGCTTCTTTATACAAACTATAGTTGGCTTGGGTTGCACAGCAAATTAAGGCACAAGAAATAACAAATTTTGGGTTTACTCTGGGTAGAATCTGGATAGGTGAAATGTTATTTGGCTACCATTTTGGACTAAGTTTCTTAGAAGTCCCAACTGAAACAGGAAGAAGTTATTTACTAGAGGAATTATAATCCAGATGACTTCAGATTTGTTTAGTCTTTTAAAACCATACTTACTTCATTGTGGACTGTGTTCAGTGTGTATCCTGTTTTTAAAGTATTTACGATTACAGTAGAAGATGTTCTGCAAAACCTAAAACAACTCTTACACTGTGACAGCTAATATCTAGATAAAAGTGCATTGTTTTATGTTCCATTAATTCAATTTTCATTCTGTCCTTTGGTTCATATAAAACATTAAGTGTTTTGAATACTGCTTTTGGTTTCATCAGTAGATCACTTTTTGTTTGGCTTTTGTATCTTCCATATATGCTCCATTTATGTTTCATCCTTTTTAAAGCTGTATAAGTAGTTCTCAACTGAATATCACATTTGAGCCCAACATTCCCATTGCTAAGTGAGGCAGTTGTTAAGTGAGTTGTGCCTCATTTTATGATCTTTTTGGCCATAATTGTTAAACAAAGTACTTCAATTGTTAAGTGTATCATGCAGTCATTAAGTGAATCTGGCTTCCCTCACTGACTGCTGGTTGGAAGCCATTTGGGAAGGTTACAAATGGTGATCACATTACCCCATGATGCTGCAATCGTCATAAATACATGTCAGTTGCCAAACATCCAAATTTTGACTACATGACCATCGGGATGCTGCAATAGTTGTAAATGTGAAAATCGGTCATAAGCCCCTTTTTTCAGTCCTGGTGTATCTTCAAATGGTCATTAAACGAATGGTTGTAAGCCGAGGACCATCTGTACCTAACCTTCACTTGAGGACATGCTAAGATGGGTTTTATGTTCTTTGGTGATTAGGGAACAAGAAGTAGCTTGCAGTCTTTACACTCCAGTATTCATGGTTGTGGTGAGTGTAGTTATGAATGTTATGAATTTATTCAGGATTTATTTATTTTTCCTATTTATTGGCTAGATTTATTTTGCTCAAGGTAGCATTCCCTTCTGTTTCCCTCCATCCTAATACCGTACAGGGTGGTGGGTTATTCAAGGATGTCTGATCCAAAATCATCCAGTGAATCTTTGTGGCCTCACCAATTCCTGTCTAACACCTTAACTCCTGCAACAAAATGTTTTGGAATGAAATATTAAAGCAGGTCCCAATATCATTTGAAGAATCCTCCTCATGTCTTATGTCTTCACCATTTGATTCTACACCAGGCAACTGAAAGTTGAGAGAAAGCCAATACTGGTTTGGAGCATTGAATGAAACCTGAATATCTGTGAGTCTAGAAAGATAGCCAAGGGATGGCATGTTCCTTTTCATTTACTGAGTATCAGACATGACTAAATGTATATTTAGTCACATGTGAAATCTTATCTCTGTGTCCTAACCAGTGAACCCAAATGCCCTGGAACTCTTGGCTTCCAAAGTCTTCCGTTAGGGAGAAAGGAAAAATAAAATAATATTTATCCACAAGTCACCTGTCTGTCCAGAACAGTATCTTAATCCTTCTGTCCAGATGCCTGCAAGAATTACTTTAAGTGTGTGGGTTTTTAGACAGCCATTGGAAGTGACAAACAATCAACAAAAGAACCAATCAGCTGCTCAGAATTCAAATATGGCTCCAAATGAACAACCAACCAAACGACCAACTGACCAAACTGGCACACAAGACATTTATAAGCTATGGAGAATAGGACAGGACAATTCTGTTGATGATGTTACCTTGTCTGATAGTGAAACTTTCAGAAACTAAATTGAAACAAGCTTGGAGAGCAAACCATTCCAAAATCTAAATCCGAACTACAAGTATTTTCTATTATTTTAAAGCCATGGGAAGTGTTTAGATTCACAGCCTTTTTTTTTTTTTTAACAAATGAAGCTTGCCAGCATGTTTGTAAAATAGTACCTCCCACTCAGATCAACTACATATTAGAACTACAAGATGTTTTCTATCAATGGCATTTTGGAGAATTTTATCTTACCTTTCATTTTTTCCCCCTATTCCTAGGGTAGGGCAAGTTGTCAACATCAAAGCTAAAGTGAACCGAGCATTTAATACTAGCATGGAGGTATGTATCAGTGGTGGGATTCAAATTTTTTTACTACTGGTTCTGTGGGCATGGCTTGGTGGACATGATTTGGTGGCCGTGGCAGGGGAAGGATACTGTAAAATCTTCATTCCCAGCCCACTCCAGGGGAAGGATATTGTAAAATCTCCATTCCCACCCTACTCTGAGGGAAGATTACTACAAAATCCCATTCCCTCCCCATCCCACTAACCTGCTTTCCAGCTCCTATGCAGGGCAACAAAGGAAGACCCAGCCGATCAGCTGGGATTCGGGAGGCAGAGAATAGATGGGGGCGGGGCCAGTCAGAGGTGGTATTTGCCAGTTCTCCGAACTACTCAAAATTTCTGCTACTGGTTCTCCAGAACAGGTCAGAACCTGTTAAATACCACCTCTGGTATGTATGCTTCAACATCATCTTGGGTGACTGTTTGCCTTGAGTTTGGAAGCTATATTTCAGATACAGTTTGCATCTTGCCCCATTAAGTGTCCAAATTCTTCCCTACATGCTTCTGAATTGTCTACTGAGAGTTGATTATATACAGGTTGCATCTTCAAGCCAGAGGTAGACAACTGACCATACTGTTCCATTTTTGCAACCCCAAGGTGCTCATTGATGTGATGGCATTAAGTTTATTTTATTTTATTTATTTATTTTGTCAAACTATTAGATAACAGATATAAATATAAACATGATTATAAATACATGAAATGTATATGAATAAGAAAAAAAGAAACAATAGGACAGGGATGGTAGGCACGTTGGTGTGCTTATGCACGCCCCCTATGTTGCTGTTGTTCAGTGGCTTTTCTGTCTTCTGAAGAAATGAGATATTGGCTGCACTATGATTACATTTTCTTATGGAAGTACATTTGAATTCCACTTGTTCCTAGGACACAGTTCTATCAGATGATCAATCTATACATTGGTTCAGAGTGAAACTCATTGCAGTCCAAAGTATGAGCTTTATTTGCTTGCATGTCATTGGCTGTATTTTTTATTTGATAAATAAATTATTCCCCCTCCCCACTATAAGACAAAAAGATTGAGGCACTTGTTAGTCTGTAAAAACACTTGTAAAATCAAAACAAATTTTGTTTTATGAAACAAAAAGCCAGCATTAACAACTTAGCACTACTAACAAACATGGGAATGAAATTTGTACACCAGATTTGTACAGCTCAGAGTTGTACAGTTGCAGTTAAAATCACAAATAGGGGTGGAATAACTAAAATAATATAATCATCATGCTTCAACTTGTTGCCAAAAACTTGAATTTAGAGGATTATGAAAATGTTTCTTGGGAAGGAAATACAACATTGGGACAGAAGTTTTAGAAAAAGTTAAGACTGCTCTGTATCCGGCAGGTTTAGAGTCATACAGCAGTGTACAAATGTATATATTCCATATCAAGCTTCCTGTCAGCAAAAAAAGAGTTTTACCAGAAAGCATATCAGATTTGTCAATTTCTGCTTGGGGTGTTACCTTTATTGTAATTGAAATACAATTTGTGTATTGCACATCCCATAGTTGTTGAGATTCACACACTAGCATTGTATATCATCAAAATTGTATCTAGCTCATCTAATTGGTCTTTTGGATTTGCTTCTGTAAATCCTGCAATTTAGCAACAACATTGCTAGGTTAGCATTTTGTGGAATACTTAAGAAACGTTAACATAATAAATGCAAATATCCTGTTTGCTCAGGTGGGTTGGGAGAAGATGTGAGGCTCTTAAGAACAGTGTCCGCACTTCGGCAGGAAGTTGTTTCTATTTGTCTTTTTCAAGTTGAACAAGACACCCAAACACACACAGTGATGGTTGAACATATGTTGGCTCAACTTCAGTGCCTTTTCTTATTCTCATTCAACAGAGACACTTGATGGAGACTTAGGCTTATATAGCTAGTCCTTGACTTACAACCACAAATAAGCAAGGTGGTTGTTACGTGTGTCACACCCAGTTCTAGGACTTTTTTTGCCATGGTTATTAAGTGAACCACTGCAATCATTAAGTAAATAATGTGATTGTTGAGTGAATCCAGATTTCCCCCATTGATTTTGCTTGTTGGAAGCCAGCTGCGAAGGTTGTAAATGACATTCACATGACCCCAGAACACTGAGCTGTTGTAAATTCAAGCCAATTGTCAAAATCCACATTTTGATCACATGACTGTGAGGAATTCCATGACCAATGTAAATGCGAGTAGCAGTTGTAAGTCACTTTTTCCAGTGCTCTTGTAACTTCGAACAGTCACTAAAGAATGGTTATAAGTTGAGAACTGATTGTATTTGCTTGAGGGTAAAAGAGATTGCTGTGCAAACAAACTATGTTTGGATAATACAAGTAGAAGCTCCTCTGCAGATTTTTTCTGTGATAAGACTTGGAGGTCATCTTATGCAATTTCCTGCCAGTTCAGGTATCCATTACTTAATGGTGGAAAAATCAGGAACCCTGGAACTGCCAGCATGTTTCTTCTTACTTGTGCTCATGTCCTCTGTAAAAGTTCAGTGTCGTCCGTGGAATATAGCCTTTGATTTCATGATGCTATCCTCTATATGGACTAGAAACTTTGAGAATGTTCATTGAAAGTGTGTAAAACAGAAAAGCAACACTTTCCTGAATGCCAAACATTGTGCTATGTCATGTACACAACTTGCATAATGTTAATTTTCCTTTCAATTTTGATTGCTTTTTTTGTAATAATACACAAGTGTCTATGCAGGCTCAAAGGGGCCATTTCCACTCCTTTTATGTGTAATTTGGCTTCCTTTATAGGTGAAAGGAACAGTTTGATCTAAGGAATGTCAGGTTTTGTTTTGCTGCCTCAGTGAACAAAGGTTTGTACAGTAATTCATTTGCTTAGAAAACAGTAGCAGAACACAATTATTGCACTTCCTACTGTCTTCTAAATATTCAAAGTATGAATTGCCCAAACTGGATTAAACACTGGAACAAAACAATAAGATAGTGAGCAGTGCAATTCCTTCAGGTGGTACAAAGTGGTCCTTTGAGGAAGGGAACTGTAATATTTTTTTTAATTGATTGATTGGTGAAAGGTAATAGATACTGGGCTTTAAAAAAAAGACTTCTCTCATAGAGGGTTTTCATCCTTTCTCCTGGTGATGGTTTTCAGGTTGGGGTGCAGGTCAGCTGCGAGGATCTCTGCAGTGGTGAGCAATGGAGTGTGTGCAAAGCATACGCAACATTTGTCACTGAACACAAACTAACTGCTAAGGTAGGTGTACAATCAAATAATTTCTCTCACTGCTTTCTCTCTCATATCTCTCTCCTTCTCCCTCCCTCCCTCTCTCTCATCTCTCTACTAATATTTGTTTTTATGTTTCTTATTTACTCCATTCATACAACTGCCCACTTCTCTGGGTGGCTCTCAAGGTTTAAAACAATTAACAACATTGACAAAGGAAAATGGTAAAGTGATAAAATTTAATAACACAAAACATTGCACCAGAGACCACAACTCAAGCAGACAGCAAAATTATCAGACTTTCTGGCTCTGTTCCTGAGCTAAGAACCAGGTCTTCAGGGCCTTCTTAAAACCCTGATTTATTTGCAACAGCACTGCTGGCTAATGCAGGGGTCATCAAGATATTTTAACTCCTATGTGGGTTATAAGCTCATCAAATTAAAAAAAAATTAAACACACCCTCAAATGAAGTTATGTGACTCCATGGGCCCAAACCTACAGTTCTCTTGGCTGTATACCAAAAAATTTTGCAATTGACTTCATCCAAGATGCCTTTGATTTTTCAGTCTAGTATATCTCTGTGGTCTCCCATCAATTTATGAATCAGTACTAACCCTGCTGACTTTTTTGAGACCAGCTAAGGTGAGCTTGGTGCTTTGTGTATACATTTCTGAAAAGAGTTCTGCAATACTGAAATAGGATGCTATTGCTCATTTATTTTCAGAATGTGTAGGTTGGTGCAGAGTGATAAACATATTGGCAGTGTGGTTTGATTGATGGGGTGATACCAAATGAAAGTTGATTGCACAGTATTTGTAAACTATGCCAAGATTGCAACTCTTTGCATCTTTATAAAGCAGGAAGTCTGGCTATGATTAAAATTGTTTGAAAATAAGTATGTATAAGGTTACAATGAAACTATTACAGCTACATACAAATAACTTCTTGAAATTCTTTCCTGTGTAGTGTATAGCTAACGGAGGACTCTGTGTGTGTGTGATGTAGTGCATGCTGCTGTTGCAATGCTGTTGCTGCATTGCTTCTTTTTTTCTTTTGATTTTTTCCCATTTTTTATTAAGTAAAAAGAAAGCAAAATTCCTCTCAGAACTAAACTAAACTGCATGAATGATTCTTCAGTCTGCATTGACTTAGAGAGCAATGACAAGTAGAGTTCCTTTGGGGTCTGTCTTGGAGCCAGGATTATTCAACATTTAAAAAAAAGTATCTGATAGAATTGATAGGCAACTTATGAAATTTGGGAGGGCGCTGAGCACTCTTTGAGCTTGGTTGTTTTCTGACAGACATTTCATTACCCAAACTAGGTAACCTCATCAGTACTAACATCAGCAATTTAGCATTGATGATGTTACCTAGTTTGGGTAATGAAATGTCTGTCAGAAAACAACCCAAGCTCAGAGAGCACCAACAATTGCTCATTTCAACCCTGAGTTACAAATATTCTCCTTTATCGGCACTTATAACATTGGAAGGATTAGCCAATGCCCAAGACAAAAAAATAAGATTGAAGTGTAATATGGACAAGTTGGAAGATTGAGAAGATCAGTTTGTCCATTAAGGTTTGTCCATATTTTGGGAGAGAAAATATAGGAGTCACATGTGAAAAGGGGAATCCATGGTTTGGAAACGTTGCATCTGAGAAGGATTTAGGTGTGGTCATTGAAAGTTGAACAAGCACTGTGAAACAGCTACTAGAAGGGCTAACACAGTACTGGGTGGAGTAGAAAATCAAATGCATTAGTATCAAGTCATTATTCCTTTCTGCTTGGCATTGTGAGACTACACCTGGAATACAGCATAAGATTCTGGGCACCATGTTCTCAGAAATAAAGAGACCTTTACAGAATAAAGAAGGTTCTTGCATCTTAGGTGGGGGGAAACTAAGCTGAGATAAACCTGTTTACTATTTCAGGGGAAGCCATCAGCAAACCCTAGAGTTATAGATTAGACCAGGAAGTTATATCTAATATGTGTGTATGTGTGTGTGTGTGTGTGTGTGTGAAATAACACTCATGCATCATCACAAAATCTCCAGAACCATAAAGCCTACAAACCTGAAGTTTGGCACGTATGTTCCTCTTGACTTCTAGATGCTCACTAAGAAAGGATTTTTGGAAATGACCATCACAACATTAGTATTTCCTATATTATTATTAACACGCTCTGATGATAAGGAGTTCTACTCCCCCTCCCCACCTGAAAAGAAATCTGTTCCAAATGCAAAACACAAACTGCCCTCAATTCTCTCACACATTGACAGGACGCCAGCCAGATGAATACCAATGGATGCTGGTAGCCAGAGGCACATTTTTTTTCTTTATTTCCTTCCCCCAAAACTTGCCCGATCACATAGTTTCGTAGCGAAGCACGGGTATCCTGCTAGTAAATTAATATAACCAGGACCTTTTTATAATTCAAGCATCATCCCTGTTATAAACATGATTTGTGAATTTAAAACACACTGGCAAACCATGGGGAGACATACAGAGCAGACCTCTCAGGATTTAAGTAAGCCGTATCTCTTCTGCAGGGGCAGATTTTTCTGTCCACAAATTGCTTGGATGTGTTTCTGTCATCCCATCATTATTAATGTGTACTTTCATAGGCCGCCAAATCAATAATTCTTTTTGAAGTTGCATTAAGTAATATATCTGGGCATACCATAGCCAAACTACATATTTATGCTAGTAAGTTTTAATATTGTGTTCAGGACAAGGCATGTCCGTTTTGTAACAAGAAGCAATTGTACAGGAAGAGGATTTAATTTTTCCAGGTATTTACCCACTAAGAAACCCCTTCATCTCCTAAAAGTGATTCTTGAAAATTATTTCCAATCTTCCACTCCATTCAAGAGAATAGAATATTTATTAGGATTGGGCATTGATCCAGATTCAAAGATAGAAAAGTGCCTTATAGAATACAGAATTTCAGTGTTGGAAGAGACTTGGAGGTCTTCTAGTGAAATCCTCTGCCAAAGCGGAAGTTCTTATAGCATCCCAGACAAGTGGCTGTCCTGTCTCTTCCTAAAAGCCTCCAGTGTTGGAACATCTACAGCTTCTGAAGGCAAGCCATTCTGCTGATTAATTGTTCTCACAGTCAGGAAATTCCTCCTTATTTTTAGGTTGAATATCTCCATTTGGAACAATTGTGAATGCTCAGATAATCCCTGCCAGCTGCAGGCTCATACACTGGGGGCTGTCTTCCTTTCCAGGCTCATACACAGGAGTTGTCTGATCCCAGAAAATGATACAATCGATTCAAGTGGGTTCTGCTGACCAGTATTAGGTACATATCCATGCATACTCCAAGTCACTTATTCCATTTTAAATCCAGATCACTGATCACTGGCCAGTTCTAGAATTCCCTGAATCTTAACAGAATAACAAGAGTTGGAAGGTACCTTCTAGTCTTCTAGTCTAGTCAACCCCTTAATAAGCTTTTGCAGATGGGGCGAAATCAAACTACAGAACCCATCCAAGTGAACAACCGAAGAATGCGGGAAATACATCGAGAGGCTATGTGTGTAAACTCTAAAATTCTACGCTCAGCTAATCTGCAAGGCAGTTACTTGATTACGTTGAGGGTAAGGCAGATTTGAACAGTGATACTTTAGACAAGCAAATGGTCTAGAGTGAGAGGCATGTTACATATTATCTTCCCTTTTTCTTAGATAAAGTTAAGGCCCCTGGATCCTCAAACAGAAGAGGAGAAAACTGAATACAGCGTTGCTGCTGAACGTCGCCGTATGAGACTGGTGCACACAGATACAATAAAAGACCTGCTTACTAAGAGCCCTGAGCAGGCTGGTAGAGTATCTTCTAACATTCTTTCTAGGGCTTCGGCTGTGTGGGATGGGTTACCTTGGCTTTATTTCCGTTCACTTCATTTTACATCATCTCTATCATTTTAAAACACTTGATTGCTATTCATAAATCCCTATGTGAGGAGAAATTCCAGTCAATATTTAAATTGGCAAGGTGTTCTCCAGTTCAGGAAATAGAACTCAACCATTCAAAATGTAGAAAGATGAGCTTACCATTGTTGGCCATTTGGAAAGCATGGCATTCACTGAAAATTGGGAATCACCCATAGATGCTTGGGGAGTTCAGTGTTTATGTAAATTCATTTCAGTATATTAAACTAGTCTTCCTAGTTTGTACTGGTGATAATTATATTCGGCCAGTTTGGTGTAATGGTCAAGGCATCGGTTAGAAACTGAGAGATCGAGAGTTCTAGTCCTACCTTGGGCACAAAGCTAGCTGGGTAAGTTTGGATCAGTTTCTCTCTCTCTCTCTCTCTCTCACTCTCTCTCTCTCTCTCTCTCTCTCTCTTTTTTTTTTTTTACAAAACACATGCTTGTAAGGCCACTGGATCTTCCTACCAGCTGTTTTTATATGATGAATAGTACATGATGTGCACTGGTTTCCTATGGTAAAAATTACATGAAACGATGATGATAGGTTTGTTGCTAGGAAGAAGAAAACGGTTGAATTGTGTTGTAGAGATAATCTTTTGACCATATTGCTGCTTGTTTATATAAAACAACAGTATTTATGGTGGCATCTGCTAGTAAACATGGTTGTTAAGAATTCCATACAGCTCATCCATGTGGTTGTGATAGTGGAAAGTGCTACTAAAAAGCTACCTTTGGTTTACAGTTATTCAATCCACAAAGGATCACAGTTATAATAGGATGTGCATCTCTGGCCAGGAATCCATTCACTGATGTTGACAAGTTATTTCTGGAAAGTGAGCAATGATGCCACTAGCCCTGCTAGATGCCTTGGATCAGCTGAGCTGCAGAGCTGATCTTAATTCCCAGTAACTAATTCAGGAAGACCCCAGTACAAGAAGTTGCTGGTTCCATTAATTCCACCTGTTGTGCTGTAAGGGGTGGAATTAATGGGACAAGTATAATAATAATGCACTAAATAGCAAGAAGAAGCAGAAATTATTTTTAAAATAAATCTGCCCAAAAAAGAAAGCGATCAAACTGTTGACATGCAAGAGAGGAAAGCATACTTGGAAAGCATGGTATAGAAGAAGCAATAGTCATAGCTCCCTTTTATATTTTAAGTACTTTCTTGCTTGCTTCATTTAATTCAGAGATGTGAAGCTTGAAGCAACACGCAGCCTCAGAATTCCACAACAAGTTGAATCCAGATTGTAATTTAAACCTGAGAGTAGGAAGATATGCTTAAATATAGTCTCATGCAGGTACCCCTAGTCCAATTGTATGCTGCAATTAATTTTTAAGTATATAGAAAGTATACAATATTTAAGTTGGATGCTTTAGGTACTCACGAATAAAGGTAAGTATATGTGCCCCAGGATAATGCTGCAGGATTGGATCTGGGTTGGTCACTGGGATCAGAGGTTTTGTCTTCCAAGCTTTCAGACTCATGCTGGAGCTCATCTTCAAGGAACTTCTCTCTTGCCTAGCCTTCTCTCTAGGCGAGAGAGAAATTCCCTAAAGATGTCTATGGAGATTCTTAGTCATCCAGTTCATGGTTGTCCCAAAGGTGCTTTTCAAGAGGCAACTGGATTTTCTGGATTTTCTTTGAAAACGTTTCGCTTCTCATTCAAGAAGCTTCTTCGGCTGAAGAAGCTTCTTGAATAAGAAGCAAAACATCTTTAAAGAAAAAGAAAGAAAATCCAGTTGCCTCTTGAAAAACCACTTTTGGGGCTTTCCTGAAGATGGGTTCCAATATCAGTCTGAAAGCTTGGGAGATAAAACCTCTGGTCCCAATGGCCAACTCAGATTGGATCCTGCAGCTTTAGATTATACTGACTGCTTGCTGTGTATGACAACAGGTCGACAGCAGTTTCACTCTCCACCAGGTGAAGCTTACATTTACTGGAGTTGGAGGATAAAAGAAGAGCCCTGAGCATTACTTCAAGTGCCTACCTGGTAGTTTAACCCTGAGAAGGTTGCTCCTGTGCAGATACACCTCTGATGGAGCGTATCTTTTTCCTCTCATAGGTCCCGAGAACAGAGAATGCAATGTGACCATACCTGCTGAAAAGACCAGAGTGGAAAGCGTGGAACTCATTTTACCTCCACATGCCAACCATCAGGGAAATACATTTGGTGGGCAGATTATGGCGTGGATGGAAAATGTGGCCACAATATCGGCAAGGTAGGTGCTTGCATCTTGCTGAAGGGAAAAATGAAATAATGGTGGTTGATTAAAATCTGGCTTTATATGTAATTAGTCCTAATTACATATCAGGTTAGAGTTAAATGGATGAATTTACTGCCTGCTTTCTTCACTGAGGGATTCCCATTTCATTATACGCTGATGATAAAGACATTTTCATATGGCACACTTTCAAAATTACTATACAGGAAGTATGGGACATATTGCCTTCTGGAACTTGTTATTTTTAGCATTAAAAACCCAAATACATATATATATAGGTAGCCTTCAACCTGACGCCATAATTGAGTCTGAAATTACAGCTGTAAGACATACCAGTTGTTAAGTGAGATCACGTGACCAATTGTGATTTTACGCCTTTTTTCTTTTTGATACAGTCATTAAGGGAACACAGCGATTATAAAGTGAACACTACAGTTGTTAAGTAAATTCCCTGGTCATTGAGCAAACCCATTGTAGACTCCAGTTTTCAACAAGAAAAGCATAAATCAGTGTCACATGACTATAGGACTTTGCAAATAGCTGTAAATACAGGCTGGTTGTCAAGCCCCTAAAATATAATCACATGACCGCAATGTCAGAACTTTGAATCTGAGTCATAAGTACTTTTTTTTGATCCATCGTAACCTGAGACAGTCATTAAATGACCGGTTGTTAAGTGAAGACTATCTGCAAAACTCAGCGGTGAACTAGGGATTGTCGTGGTCATTGTTTTCAGATTAATAAACCTTTTCATACTTGTAGAATAAGTCTGTCTATACATGCACTGTAAGTTTTTCTAATATAAGACAAAGAAGGGCAACTGGAGTCATTAATATTGTCAGTAGAAAGAATATTGAGTTGTTGTTTTTTGGAGTAGAACAATATTGAGGTTATCCAACTACTGGTTTTCTTCACACTTTGTGAAAATTGGGAGCAACCTATAGAAATTAAGCATTCCAGCCTTAAACATTCATAATTTTCCTTTTACCCAAGATACAAGCACTACATTTGAAGTCCACTGAAGGTTGATAGCAATAACACTTAGACTTATATACTGCATTACAGGGCTTTATAGCCCCCTCTAAGCGATTTACAGAGTCAGCATATTGCCCCCAACAATCTGGTTCCTCATTTTACTCACCTCAGAAGGAAGGAAGGCTGAGTTAACCTTGAGCCGGTGAGATTTGAATTGCCAAATTGCAGGCAGCCAGTAGTCAGCAGACGTAGCCTGCAATATGCATCCTAACCACTGTGCTACTACGGCCCTTATAGCTCTGATAGCAGTTATCCCAATGATAGCAATGTGGAAACATTTGATAAATGATCTGTATTGGTTTGTTAGGCTTGATGTCTCGCCGACTGCCAGGTTGAGTGAACGTGTAAGCAGAAATGAGAGAATTGGCGCAGGGTTTAAGAAGGCAGATGGACTATAATCTGGATGATATTAGGCTATTGTGATCACAAGAAAGGTCCATGCACCATCAGACAAATCTGGGACAGATTTCGGGATTGTGATACATAACTTTTATTTGGAAATATTCTGTGTCCACAACAGTCTGATTGTTGAGATAATAAACGGTATCATTGAATTTTTGGACTGTGACTTAATATTGTGAAGTTTTCTTAAAATCAATAGGTAGTATTAGAATAATTTTTCACAATTTCTAGATTTGTCAGGAGGCATGAAAATAAGGGGAAAGTATTGGACCGAAATCAATTCTTGATTGGCCAGTTTATTATCATTATTTCCTGATCCTATACATCTTCCATTCTTGCTTCAGTAGTAATAGGGTTTATTTTTCCTAATTGGATAAAAAAAAGAATTGGGAGGAAGTGTATATTGTCTGTAATTTGTAAAAAAAAAAAAAAAAACTACAGTCTTGAAGGAAACTTATTGTCCAGTCATTGAAGGAGGATAGGAAGAAAGGAAAGACCAGCCTCTGTGTGAATTTGAAAAATGGATGATAACGGTCCTTTGTAAAGTTTGGAATTATAATTTCTTATACCATTCAAATAAATCCACATTTAAGGCCACATTTGCAAGTATATGTTGCCTTATGTTTACCTGCAGTTGATCTGGTGTAATTGTTCAGCATTTTCCACTGCACCTGATTTACATTTAACTATTGGGGTAACAGTACTAATATGCTCTAATTCTATCTTGAATTTATTTGAGTGGTTTTCACATCCCCTCAGTTTGTTTGGTGTTTAACTATGCAGCTGGAACAATTTTGTTCTCCTCTCTTTCTGAAATTTTTGTAAAGCTAATGAAAGCAAGAGGTTAATTTCCAAGGATAATGGTGAATGCACCTTTATGAATTGGCTAATAAATTTTCCTTAGTTATTATCAGATCAAGGCAGATATATTTTTAAGTGTGATTCTGGTAGAGACACATTGGAATTTCATGGGGACATCAGGAAACATCCCTTCTCAAGAGATGCTGATTTTTCTACTTCCAAAGCTAAATTCTGTCCTTTTTGTGAGGGAAAACAGAAGCTACCTTAGCCTAGCTGTTTTAGAAATTCACTTCCTTCCATACTGACTCATCTTTTAGCATACATTCTTCTTCACTCCCTTTTTCTTGAAGCTCTGAAACTGCCAGATTGTCTTTCATTCTTATTAGTGACAAACTAGCTGTTTCCCTTTAGGTGGCGATGTGTCTCCATTAATTCTGGGAATTTGGATGATCATTACCTGGAAAAGATGGAAAAGAGAAATTCAGTCTGTCCTTTGCAGCTTTCCCACATTCTCTCTCTCTCTGTCATTGCTCGGGCATCCGGAGTACCTTTTCAACTGGCAGATAGCCTTTCTCACAACAGGCCAGTTGATAAATCTAGCTCGGGCATGGTTTGACACTTGTAGTGTAACAGTAAACTTGGGTTAATTTATAACTTCCATCTGAGCTGTTGCTGATTGGCAAACAGTATTTAAATAGTTTGTTCAGCAGCACATGCATTACAGCTAGATGGACGGTGTTTATAATGTGATCAAACTCGATTCTATTTTTCTATGTTCTTCCAGCCGATTGTGCAATGCCTATCCCACCCTGAAGACCATTGAAATGTTCCAGTTCAGGGGACCATCCCAGGTTGGGGATCGCCTTCTGTTCAAGGCCATTGTTAACAATGCATTTAAGAACAGGTATGTCTTCCTACCATTGTTCTAATCTAGAGCTAAGTGGATTTGGTCCGGAAATCAGTAGAAATTTGATGGAGTTGCATATATTAAACCATTTGATGATCTACTCTAATAAATGCAAAAGCATTGAAGAGGAAGGTTGAAAGAGGATGGTAAGAAATGGCTCATTTATTCCCCTCACTTATTCTTATATTAGCTACAACTCGAAACAATCCCAATATAGAACATTGTGGTTTGCCAATGTCTGGAAAGCCATAAGCCCTTATTTCATGAATGGATAACTTCTAAAATTTGCTGACATCTTTAAAATAAATAGAAAGATAGTTCTAAGCACATTAAAAATATAATGAGACATTGTGTATTCTTTAGAAAGCGTTTTGAAATTCATTCAAGAAATAGTTAATCAAAATGGGCTAGAATTCATTCTAACAGGTTGTAACATCGTATACAGTGTGATCTCAGCAGATTTTGTGCATGCAATTACTTATTTCCTCATTTTAAAATGTTCTTAATTGCAGCATGGAGGTTGGGGTGTGTGTCGAGGCCTATCGACATGAAATGGAACTCAAACAAAGACATATAAATAGTGCTTTCATGATTTTTGTGGTCTTGAATGAAAATCGTCAGCCCCGTATACTTCCAGTGCTGAAGCCAGAACCAGGGGTAAGAAAATGAAAATGGTGTTGCACGGCTTTGAAATTACACTGGTAGCCCAGAATAGTGTGTGACTCAAGGATATTTGTAGTGCAAATTTAATTTCCAGTTTGGGAACCACCTTAAAAAACACGATACACCTGGAGGAAAATGAATGAGAATTGTGAGTGAAGGTAGGAATGGACATTTGAAAGCTCACACTCTCCCCAAGTCTTGGGTAGAGCCACAGAATTCTCTTAAAATAAAAGTTGCCATTGAACTGTGACTTTTAATATGATAGCAAGGAAAACTATTCAATACAGATAGTCCTCAACTTACAACAGTTCATTTAGTGACTGTCCAACGTTACAACGGCACTGAAAAAAGTGACATGATCATTTTTCACACTTATGACCCTTTTGGCATTCCCATGGTCAATCCGGACGCTTGGCAACTGTCTCATATTTATGATGGTTGCAGTATCCTGGGGTCATGTAGTCACTTTTTGCAACCTTCTGACAAGCCAAGTCAATGGGGAAGCCAGGCTCACTTAACGTCCCATGTCTCCAACTAAACTGCAGCGATTCACTTAACAATTGTGGCAAGAAAGGTTGTAAAATGGGCCAAAACTCAACAAATGTCTCACTTAGCAACAGAAATGTTGCGCTCAGTTGTGGTTGTAAGTCTAGAACTACCTGTATGTATGAAGTCATTAACTATATTTAATTATTTTTGGCCCACTTATTTTGTTCTGCTTGGTGAAATGTAGTGCTTGCTACGGCACTTGAAGATTTAAGAGTAGCTTGTGCCCTAAGAAGATTCAAGTATGTTACTGCTAAGCTGAAGTTTCAGTTGCATAGTAAGACAGAATCCTAGGACTTCTTATGTTTCTAGCTTTAGATTTAAAATATGCTGTTGTTTCACTGTGTCAGTCCTAAATGTGGTCGGCCGGTACTTTTTCTCACTCGTGTGCAAATCCAGGCAGCTGAGTTAATTCAGGAACCCATAGCTAAATTAAGCCGAATTGGTAGGCTACACAAGCACAGCCTATATGTCTTTGGATTTACTTTGTTTTTCCTCTATTATTACTTTGCTATAAACAACAGTTAATATACGTATAGAGTTGGTGGGACATAGTGAGATGAATCTAACCAAACCAATGAGGAAAATACAGCAATACTGTTTGTACCTCACTACAATAAGTGCCCTATGTAGAAGCAGCCTTGATTAGCTAGTAGGGTGTTTTTTTTAATGTATGGCTGTGTTTTTTCCCCTTAGAGTCTTCCTTGGTTGGTTATACTTGTCATCCTTCAAGAGTTATTTTTCCCCAAGGCAAAGATGCTTCTAGTCTGCCTCCAATAGAATGGCTGTATTTGCTATGTTCACTTGGCAGCAGCGTTGGGAAGACCAATTGGGAAGAATTGACTCATAAAATTCATAAACAGACCGAAAGAGACCAATAGAAGAGAATAATTGTAGCTTAGGGTTGAACTGTGGGGTCCTTGGTGCTCTCTGAGCTTGGTGGTTTTCTTGCAGACGTTTCATTACCAAACAAGATAGTATCATCAGTGCTCTGATGATGTTACCTAGTTTGGTAATGGAACGACTGCAAAAAAAAGCCACGAAGCTCAGAGAGTACTAAGGACCCCACAGATTGAAAGCGAAATAGGATGAAGTATTTTAAAAGAGGGAACCGCAAACACTGAATACAAACCTTCCTCCTTTAACGTTTGATTGCAGATCCCACCAATATTTACTGAATCGGGTTCTTAGTAAAACAGTGCCAGTCTCAGTGAGTGACTTATAAGAGCCATCCACAAAGCCTCTCTAGATTCTCTCACCCGACTAACTGCTATGGTTTTGAATAGACAAGAACATAGTGAGGCTTTAATTAAACAGAAGGGTCAAGTGAAGAGGGCATACTGTGCATAGATCCAGCTTCCTTGCGAAATCCATAATGCTGGGAAAGGGGAAAGAGAAGAAAAGGAAGTAGAGGCAACCAGCGGGAAGCTGGATGGACTTGATTACAGAGGCAAAAGTTTCACCATAAGGAGACCTGAAGAGGCAGCGTGCATAATGTAATCCGTTCATTTTATTTCCCTTTAACAGGATGGAGAAAGACGGTTTAAAGAAGCTAGCGCAAGGCAAAAAATTAGACTAGACAGGTTGGTAAAACGTTTTCTTACTCTTTCAGCACTCTTTTCCTGCCCTACAGCTCCACGCCTGTTAAGTGAAAGGGAGACTGTAGAATTTTAATTACTGCATGTATGATTTTTTTTCCCCTCTTGCACATTTGTAGGATAGAATTATGTGCATATTTAGGAGGATGAAATAGTTTATGTATAACTAAATCTTCCTACCTATAGGTTTCATACTCAGACTTGCCGGTGAGTTAAACCGCCATCCCCGCCCACCAACCCTCAGGGAAGTGGAAGCTGAGTGTTAGAGTCGTGCACACTTCACAAATGATTTGGAAGAAGTGTTTGAGACCTAGTACAAACACAGCACTTGGCTGCTCTTCATTAAAGGAAACAGGAAGTCTGGGGTTTTTTCCCCCAGGCTTCGGCTGAGCCTGACAAAAAAGAGGCTGCTGCTTTAAGGGTCACCTGAATGGATTCTTTAAGACAAGGGCAAGTTTTTTTTTTACAGGCTCACCCATACTCTGGAAAAGAATTGGGGGCTGCTTTAATGAGTAGCAGCATGGCTTTGTGAGGATTCCACAGGAGACAGATTTTTGTGTTTTTGCTTTTCTGCTTAGATTCAACTTAGTGGACTTGGGATGCATTAGCTGGATATTTCATTTGGATGCTGCCTGCAATTAATGTTTGTTTGGTACTTCCAAAATAGTCCAGTTAGTTTTTGCTTTGTTGTATGTATTAGTATTATTTCTTCTGTGCATGGAATGGATCTCTGTCTTCTGCACTTGCATTGCTAGTCTTAGCGTATTGCTGTTTCCGCTTGTTAGTGTGTTGGCTTCCATGCTGCTATGGTGGCTTCAGAGGTTTGAACGATGAGCAGAAAAAGCAGCTGTTAGATTTAGCATACCACTTCTCACCCAACAATCTGTTAAATTGAGGATTTACTATGGTTTTTCTCCCCTACTTCCTTGGAAGGGGCAGGCCAGTCTGTCGCCCATCTCAAAGCACACTTCAGATTTTGGACTGGTGCAGCTTTTTTGTGAACGTAGCTTGCGTGCTTGCCAATATGATTTTATAAGGAATAAGGTCCAGACACATGTTTTCTTTAAACAGACATGTAAACTTATTTATATGTAAAACACCTAAGGAGCTATGTTGATCACTAATTACAGTACTATGTTCCAGTACAAAAAAAAAACAAAAAACCCACTGAACCAGAATGGTCAGGAAGAGAATTGTAGGCGAAGATCTCAGTATATGTGTATTGGATTTTCTCTAACCTATATTATTCTGATAGCAAAAGGCAGGAAAATATAGAAGCCTGAAGAATACAGCTGATCAGCATTTTCCTCCACTTTACTCATCTCTCTGTATTTTAGATTTTTAATTCTGCTGCAACATTACTTATAAAACGGATTCCTCTTCCTCAGATCTTTATTTCTGCCTGCTTCCAGTTCTGCTTTATGGTTACCGCACAGCCCACTCCCATTTGCCTGTTGTTATGTCACAGAGCTCTCATTGTGTATTTATAGCCTGACTGTTTGTTATCTCTCATGTATAATTTATCCAGGAACATGGATGGAGACAGCCGGCATTATCTTAGAGGCCACTCTTCTTGAGGAATTAATACCTGATTAGCGCATCTTCATGGCATCAGTGAGAAAAGGCAGGCTAGGAAGAGCCGGGGAACATATACACGAGAAGAACATAAGAGGCACCGCTATATTAAACAAGATTCTCTAACTCAGGGGTCTCCAATTCTGGGAGTTGAAGTCCACAAGTCTTCAAGTTGCCAAGGTTGGAGACCCCTGCTCTAACTTAAGGGTTCACAGCATTCTTCAGCTTGAGAATTCTATCTCTTTTGACATTCTCTCTGGCTTAATCGTTTGTCTCTGTCACTGGCCAGCTTGTGAATTCCAGGTATATTCAGCCTATTGGGAAACTGCTGCAGGCTGAACTGTAAAAATAATCTAAAGAATCCTTTATCTTAATTGTTTGCTTGAATATCCGGAGTGTGGAGATAAGGAGGGAGGCTGTTAATATTTCACTTAGACTGAAATATGTATTTGTTAGGAGGAGTCAGAGGTCGAGATAGGCAACATTTAATGTAGGAAATTGGAGGAGCTGCCGTCTTTTGGGGGTTGCAAAGGATCTACAGATGGAATCATGAGATAATATCATGGGCATTCTCATGAGATTTATTTATTGCTTATGGAGGTAAATTCTGCTTTTCTCCAGCAATATAAATGCTCATACATAGCCTTTCCTCCTCACTTTTTCTTCCACAAGAAAAAAAAATCCATGTAATATGTTGGACTGCAAAAGAGTGACCGGCCCAAAGCCATTCAGTGGGCTTCCATGATGGAAACTGACCTAGAACTTGGGCTCTCTCCTAAGTTCAGTGTCTTCACTGTTATGTCACAGTCTTGGGGTCACTGGCCAACTCAATGACTAGTCCCCAAAACCCATTTCACAGAGGCAAGCCACCATACTCTAAAGCAGGGTTTCTCAACCATGGCAACTTTCATGTGTGTGGACTTCAATTCTCAAAAGTGATTCCCCTGATAAAGTAAATCACCATAAGAAGTCTTAAAGAAGTATTCAATAAATGGACTTGGGTATATGATCTTAACGAAGGCTCTAGTCTTAGTCCAGTAGCCCAGGGGTCCCCAACCCTCGGTCCATGAACTGGCACTGGGCTGCGGCATTGCTAGAAACTAGGCCACGCAAACAAGGGAAGCCCCATCCGTGTGATCCGGGCAGCATGCGAAATCATGCCCCATCCGGTCTGCGGAAAAGCCTCTCTCCAAGGAACAGGTCCCTAGCACCCAAAAGTTGGAGGCCGCTGCTGTAGCCACTATGTGGGGGTGAGGACAATAGTGCTTTAAAGTTGAAAGCCCTTGGGAGAGACACAGTGTGTGTTTTGCTGTATGTGTGATAGTGTATTAGGGCCTGAACTGTGTCATCCATACGCGTAGCTGCTATAAGCCACACACACACACACAGAGGCATATTCTAAAACTTTGAGGTTTTCTTATCTTTAAATAATGATTACTCTATTGGAACAGAAAGTAATATATAATTTTTTTCTTAAGAATCAGTATCTCTGGAGAGATGCATGCAACTTACATGCGTTCTTTGTTCAGCTTGCTTGAGAACTTTGTCCTGTCTTTTTCCCTCTTCTTCAGATCTTTCGTTTAAAAAGTGACTAGTTGTTGTGCTTGGCAAAGTTGAACTTCGTTGTTTACCATTGCTCTTTTTGAAGATGATAGATACCTGTTATCTGCCAGATCTCTCCTTATCCACATTTCTTTATCTAAGACCCTGAGAATGAGAGATTGTAAAGGCTTGATAGTTGAGCAGCTCATAGGAGCCTATTGTGACTGTGCAACTTTGCGTTCCTGGGGTCCAAGGTTTTTGCTGGCTGTTGGATTGAGTCATGCAGCAGGCAGCTTGTTTCCTTTTGCTTTTGATTCCCAAAATGGACTCTCATTAGCGTTTGTATGCAGTAAATGTTTTCTGGAAGTAACCCCAAATGAAGGCTTTTGTTTATCTGAAAAGAAAATGAAACATTTCGCCCAAATCTGTAAATGTTGGAGAGGGTGGGGAGTCACCTTACTTTGGCTGAGAATTTGGAAGAAGATTGGAGATTGTGAGGTGCAGTCAGTGGCTAAAAGAAACACAGGAGCTGCTGTCTTTGCACTTTAGCTTTTGCATTTCTCTTGCCATCCTCCATGCATAGAAAATGTGAGCTTACAGGGGAGAATCTGCCTTTGGAGTACAGTTACTATAGTGAAGATTGTAGAAAAACCAGGATCCTCGAAACTTTGGTAGGACAAACTTACCTGCAGAAAGGATACTGAACAGGACTCTTCTAAGTATCTAAAAGTGGGACTGGTTACAGAGTAAGCATCCTATTGCTTGCAGCCCAATACAGGTAATCCTCGACATACAACAGTTCATTTAGTGACCATTCAAAGTTACAATGGCACTGCTAAAAGTGACTGATGACCATTTTTCACAGTTACAACCTTTGTAGCATCCCCATGATCATGTTATCAAAATTCAGATGCTCAGCAACTGGTTCATACTTACGATCATTTGCTGTGTCCCAAGGTCCTGTGATCTCCTTTTGTGACCTTCTGACACGCAAAGTGATCAGGGAAGGAAGATTCACTTAACAACCATGTTACTAACTGAACAAGTGCAGTGGTTTGCTTAACAAATGTGCCAAGAAAAGTTGTAAAATGGGGCAAAACACACTTAACAAATGTTTCACTTAACAGCAGAAATGTTTGGCTCATTGTAAGTCATAAGTCAAGGACTACCTGTATAAA